ACCACAAAGTGGGGTTTTTTTTTTTAAATTAATTATCAGAAGAAAATCGGCCAACTTTAAAATTTCTCTGACAATATGAGTAATTCGCGCATATATGACATTTTGAAATAATGACATTTATTTTTCTTTTTCAATAGCTAAAAATATTTAAATCTTCAAGGGCTATTTACTACTTACTAGTGACCTCAAACACGTTACAACAACTACCAAACCAAACTTATGCAAAATTTTAATTATCTTAAATAGAGAAATAATTCACACGCCTCAGTTGAGTATAAAACCCACAAGAAAAAAACAATATAGATGAACTTTTGAATTGAAAAGCAAAGGTACGCACAAATAACTTTAATTAACAGTTCTTGTTCGTCCACCACCATAATCGAACTCGTAATATCAATTGGCCAGTAATTAATATCTAAAAAAAAAGAGATCTTCACAATGAAGGAATATTTCCAGCGACAAAGCAAAAGTAAAACCAAGCACAAAAGTGAAAAAGGAAAAGGAAAAGGAAATGTTCATTGATTTAATAAAAAAAAAAGAACAAAACATCTCAAATAGAAATTTTTAGCCTAGAATCATATCATGTGGTAACAAGCTAGCAAGCGGGTCCAGCTAATTTAAGTTTAGCTGGGCTTCATTTATGTGTACAATAAAGTTTTATCTATTAATATAGACTTTAGACTTTTTAGCCTCGCCTAACAAAAAAAATCAAATTGAATGATGGTTAACTGTTCATTCACGTGATTGGCCGGCTTGTATCGACAAGTCAATAGCGTGTTCCGTTTTTTTCATGTACATTTTTTTTTTTTTGGAAAAGAACGTGTAGAGTTTAATTAATTTTTTTGAAAAGTTGTTGAGGACAGTTGGTTCGATTAAGATTTGTGAAATAAGAACGTAAATATTCTTATGGTAAAGGTGCACGTGGTAAGATCCTAGTTACTAGCAGGTCAATTATTGCGCCGGACAATTATCCTTCACTTTTGACTAGTTGCTCGCCGGACTAATTGTCAAAGTGAGTAAATTTAGTTATAAACATGGATTAAAAAGACATTGAGCAGTCATTTTCGTTTCACTTGTTAGATTAATGTGCGAGCGACCCAGTCTGTTCTTGAAATACCACCCATCTAACGGTGAAAGAGCCGGCAATTTAAATTTCATTTGAAACCATGCATGCATAGAGAAGCGCGCATTGACATGAGAAGATTTTGTGTAACCTTTTCCGACTAATTAATCCTCTTGATTTAATCACTGACAAATAACTGTTGCCACGATCATTTCGCTATGATTCCTATTCTTCTATAATTTTACAAATGTATAATATTCATTCTGATTTTTAACACATATTATTTTAGAAAAATTATGTTACTAGGAGCCAAGTTTTTTGGGTCAAAAAAATTAATCTGGAAACTACGGCTTCGTTTGGATATCATGGTGTTTTCATTTTTATGTTTTTGTAAAAAAACATCACGGTATTGTGTTTTTCCCTTAAAATGTTTTCAAAACACCATGTTAAGTATTTTTTATCAACACTAGTTTGACCCATTATAACATTAGTATTAAACATATTATTAATATATTATATATTAATTATAATAAAATATATTATAAATAAAATGTTATAATATTTAGTTTACATTATTATAGTATTATAAGTATTAAATGTAATGTAATATAATATTGTATAATGTTTATTATTAATATAATATAATATTATACTATTATTCATATAATATAATATTATTAATAATGTTAATATTATGTTATTACTAGTATGTTATTAATAAATTAATATATTATAAATATTTCAATATTATATAATATGTTATAGTTTTTAATATGTTAGAGTTTATTAATAGTACTTTAATAATATATTAATATTTATGATATAAATAAATATTATTATATTATGAATATATAATTTCTACATTAACATTTGTTAGCAATAAATTATTTTATTATTAAAAATTATTTTACTTTATAATAAATTATATTATTTATTACATAATATATTAATATTTTATATATTATATTAAAACCGCCTAAAATACCAAATTGGTATATTTATACGAACGCTTTTGCCAGTTTGGTATTTTTAAAAACTCTGGGGATGACAAGGTATTAAAGCTCGACCTTTTTGTCAGTAAGTCGTTTTTCTCAAAACTCCGGCGAGAAATTTTGTTTTAAACCCCTTACCTCCCAAAAGTATTAAATTTGTACCCTCCCTCTCCTCCTCCTCCTCTTCCTCTCCTATTCCCCTCTCCCTCCAGCGCACCATCGTCCTCCTCCTCCTCCCCTCCGTCGCCCCCTCATCCCCTCCCTCTCCTCCTCCTCCTCCTCCTCCTCCTCTCTCATTCCCCTCTCCTCCCTCTCCTTCTCCTCCTCCTATTCCATTCAGATTTTTTTTGCACTTCAGATTTTTTATTGCACCATTCTAGCTTGAATAGATAGCTTCGCTATAGCTAATGTAGTGAGGGGTGTATATTCAGATGGCTTAACAACCATCGTGCACCCACAAGACAAGGCATGGACGACCTGTTGGAGACACAATACCTTAGTTAACGAACATAATCATCAGTAAGGGCATAGGCTTAATTATGTGAATATTTATGCAGCTCCATTAACTGTTTTAAATTTTAACCTTTCGTGTAATCATAGCCAAAGGAAAGTTTCACGGGGTAATTTCTGCAACCACTCCAACAAGCTGTACTAGAGATAAAAAAAATAAGGAGGGCAATGAGGGGAATGGGAGAGGAGGAGGAGGAGGAGGAGGAGAGGGAGGGGATAAGGGGGCCGAGGTTGACCCAGAGGAGGGAGATGGGGACGGAGGAGGGGATGAGGAGGACGATGGTGCGTTGGAGGGAGAGGGGAATGAGAGAGGAGGAGGAGGAGAGGGAGGGAGGGTACAAATTTAAAAATTTTGGGAGATAAGGGGTTAATAGCAAAATTTATCGCCGGAGTTTTGAGAAAAGTGTCTTATTGACAAAAAGGACGAGCTTTAATGCCTTGTCGTCGCCGGAGTTTTTAAAAATACAAAACTGGCAAAAGCGTTCGTATAAATATACTAATTTGGTATTTTAGCCCATTTACTATACAATATGTTATTATAATATTATTATTATTGTTATGTTATTATTAAATATGTTACTATTATATAATATTTAATAATTATTACTTTATTAAAATTTATTTATTAAAAAGTTAATAATATTATAGCGATCATACTATTGTATAGTATATTATTATATTATTATTATACTATTATTTATTATCAATAACTTTTTTATTATTTTTATTATTTTATTTATATTTTATTATTATTTAGTTATTATATAATACATTATTAACATATTAAATATTGGTATTTAATATGTTATTATATTATTATATAAGATATTTTATTTATTATATTTTTAGATTATTTAATATATATTACTAATATATTAAATTAACTATAATATAGTATAATATAATATAATAAGCATGTTGATAACAACTCTATATTAATTACATTTAATATATTATATTAGATATTATATTAACACCTTCTCAAACTCAAAACCAAAACACCAAACTTAAAACACCTAAAATGTGTTTTGAAATAATTAAGTGTTGTGTTTTTGGTTTGAGGATGGTTTAGCTCAAAAAACACCATGGTTTTCAAACGCATGACGTTTTGTTTTTGGCACAAACACCATGAAAACGAGTAAAACACCATAGTATCAAAACGGGAGCCTACTTAATTAAAAAATAACAAGGCGTGAGATGCATAACATTGGGCATTGAATGCTCGGATGTAGCGTGCCCTAGCTAAAAAGTTTGATTCTTACATATAAAATTTCAACTTTAGTACTAAGAGATGTACATAGGGAGAGAGACCATGCTAGTAATATTATGAAAATGATATATATGAAAGTAATGACTAGTTCATGGCCCCGACCCCATGTGACCAAGGACATCATTGGAAGAAAAGAAAAAAAAAACTAGACCTGCGAGCAAAAAAGAGAACAGACCAAAGAGATGCGCTCCCTCAGAAGAACACACTCGAAAAAGTTTGACAAGGTAAGGATTAACCCCATTCGTTATAGAGAAATCAAGAACCTAATCATATTGCACTAGTTTATTCACTAATGACAGCTGTGCCTAAACCAACTTTCCCCTTATAAATACCGAACCTCCCTAAACACCAAAGCACCCTACAACCACTCTCTCTTTGCCCGAAGCAACTCCGATGATAACGCAACAATCGGAGGACCCCTTACGGGGTCGAATGTGGCGGCGACATTGCCGCAGCGCTTAGCAGCCGTCCTCATAGCTTACAAACAATGTGGGCCACCGTCATCCGCCGCCGCCGGGACGACCCTTCCCTACATTTATGCGTCGCCGCCGCCGCCGCCTTAACGTTTACGAGCTCGCCTCCGCCGACCACCGCTACGCAGTACAAATCACGACGCCTGCTCCCTTGAAGTCACGCCGCCACCCTCGAGTACAAGTCCCGCCTGCCTCGCGTTGAAGTCTGCCACCACCGCCCTACGAGTACAAGTCCGCACGCCTCGCTCCCGTGGAAGTTCACGCGCCGCCACCGCTACGAGTACAAGTCCCGCGCCACCTCCCGGTGAAGTCACGCGCGCCGCCCCTACGAGTACGTGTCCCGCGTCATCCTCCGGTGAAGTCTCCTCGCCACCACCGTCCTACGAGTAGCATAGTCCCGCCTCCTCGTGAAGTCACCGCCGCCACCCTAGCGAGTACAAGTGCCCTCCACCTCCGGTGGAAAGTCTCCCACCACTCGAGCCCTACGAGTCACGTGGTCCCCGGCTCCTCAGTGAAGTCTGCCACCCACCGCCTCGAGTATAGAGTCACGCGCTCCTCAGGTGACATCTCCACCACCGGCCTACGAGTACGTGTCAGCCGCCTCCTCCGGTTGAGTCACCGCCGCCGCCCTACGAGTACAAGTCCCCTCCACCTGCCGGTGAAGTCGCCAACAACCACGCATACTACTACAAATGCCGCCCACGCGCCCCCATCTCCTATCGCCATCCTCCGCCATATCATTATACTTCTCCGCCACCACCCCAAAAAGTCTCCTCGCCTCCACGTACTACTACAAGTCACCACCTCCCCCGTCTCCGTCTCCCACCTCCAGCCGTACTACTGATCATTCACTGACCACCGCGGTTGGAAAAATCTCCACCCCGCATGCTCGTACTACTACCAGTCCCCGCCAACCACCGGTAAAATGCAAGCCGCCCACGCTCCCTACTAGCTACAAGTCTCCTCCTCCGCCGGTTAAATCTCCACCCCCTCCCTACTACTACCAATCCCCACCGCCACCGGTGAAATCTCCACCTCCACCCTACTACTACCAGTCCCCACCGCCTCCGGTAAAATCACCACCCCCTCCCTACTACTACAAATCTCCTCCACCTCCGGCTAAGTCCCCTCCGGCTCCGTACTACTACGTGTCTCCACCACCTCCGGTGAAGTCGCCGCCGTCTCCTTACTACTACAAGTCTCCTCCGCCACCTTACCACTCTCTACCAGCTGTGGAAGTCATCGGAAAGGTTTACTGCTTCAAGTGCTACGACTGGAATTACCCCGACAAGCATAGCAACAAGAAGCTCTTCAAAGGTACTGTTACTAGTAAACTTAATTAACTACGTTGATTTTCTTCATTTGGATGTAAATTTGTTTGTTAACTAGTTTCTTCTTCTTATTTTTTTTTATTAATTAAAATAGAACCCTACGACTGAGGTCATTAACCCTTGACTGTTGTAACTTGCGACATATGTATAGATGACAGATAGCCTTTGTTTTAATTTGCAGTCTTTATTTAAAATATACAAACCTAGACATGCTAGCTACTTGCTACAAAGTGAAATTAAATTATGCGGACAAAATCAAAGAGAACATGTCTTTATTCAAATCCACAACATGAAAGTTTATCTATAATAAATAAATATAGGAGCTAACGGATCAATCGCACCATTTGGCGCTACACAGGAGAGCATCTAGGCACTAACCAGAATCTAAGCTAAAATCCCCGACAAAGTAGGTAGTGGTTGAATGCAGACGTCTACACCTTGCACCGTGGGGGGGAAAAAGAAAAAGAAAAAGAAAAAGAAAAAGAGACGGTTTAAGTCAGCACGATTCCCTGCCTAAAAATATTTAATTGAAGAAGAAACAAACTTTGATTAATAATCATCTAGCTAACAATAATTGATGTGATCATATCTAAACAACAGTTATAATTAATATGCTTAATTTGTTTGATCAGGAGCAATTGTGAAGGTGACATGCAAGGGAGATTACAAGTATGTTGGATTCGGTGAGACAAACATCCATGGGAAATACAGCGTAGAGATCAAGGGGTATCCCTACTGGAAGTATGGAGCCAAGGGATGCAAGGTTGAGCTCCACGCTGCTCCCAAGGGATCGATGTGCAGGTTGAAGACCAAGCTCAACAAATTCCAACCCATCAAACTCGAAGCTTCTCGAGACAAGATCTTGCTCTTGTCTAAATCCATGGCCTTTGCTCCCGAGAAGCCCTACATGGAGTGCAACAAGCACCAGCATCATGAGTCGCCTCCTCCTCCCGCGCCAATTTATCATTACAATTCACCACCACCACCACCGACTTACTACTACAAGTCACCTCCTCCTCCCGTGAAATCACCGCCTCCTCCTTACTACTACAAGTCTCCACCTCCTCCGGTGAAGTCACCACCTCCTCCTTACTACTACCAGTCCCCTCCCCCTCCGGTGAAGTCACCACCAGCTCCTTACTACTACCAGTCCCCTCCCCCTCCGGTTAAGTCACCACCAGCTCCTTACTACTACCAGTCACCCCCTCCTCCAGTGAAGTCACCACCTCCTCCTTACTACTACCAGTCACCCCCTCCTCCAGTGAAGTCACCACCAGCTCCTTACTACCTCCGGTGAAGTCACCACCAGCTCCTTACTACTACCAATCACCCCCTCCACCAGTGAAATCACCACCAGCTCCTTACTACTACCAGTCTCCTCCGCCTCCGGTGAAGTCACCACCTCCTCCATACTACTACCAGTCTCCTCCGCCTCCGGTGAAGTCACCACCTCCTCCATACTACTACCAATCACCACCTCCTCCAGTGAAATCTCCACCTCCTCCATACTACTACCAATCACCACCTCCACCAGTGAAATCACCGCCTCCTCCTTACTACTACCAATCACCTCCTCCTCCCACGAAGTCACCACCTCCTCCATACTACTACCAATCATACCTTCCTTCCCCGCGTAAATCTCCACCTCCCCCATACTACTACCATGTCACACTCCTCCTCCCGTGAAATCACCGGCCTCCACCCATACTACTACCAATCACGCCGCTCCTCCAGTGAAACTCTCCCTTCCCGTCCTACCACTACAACTCCCCACTTCTGTGTTTTAGCCAGTCCCTGTGTCCGTATGCTCCTCCCTCCCTAATACCATGTACACTCAACCACCTCCACCTGTAAATCCCTCCTCCTCCCTACATGTACAAATCTCCTCCGCCCCAGTCATTCACCACACCACCTTCACTACAACTCCCCTCCTCACCGTATCTCTTCCTCCACTTACACTACTTCCGCCCCCGACCGAAAAATCTGCCTCCCCACCCTTACCACCTACACTTCCCGCCTCCACCCCGGTAAAATCAGCCTCCTCCGCCCTACCACTGACACCTCCCCACTCCCACCGTGAAGTCTCCCCTCCCCCATACTCAACTTACACCTCCCTCCCCACCGCGTGAAATCGCCTCCTCCACCTACCACTACACCTCCCCGCCCCACCCAGTAAAGTCCCTCCCACCCCCTAACCACTACACCATCCCCACGCTCCACTCGTGAAATCTCCTCCGCCCGCCAACCACTACACCTCCACACCTCCACCCGTGAAATTCTCTTCCTCCGCACCTTAACAACTAGCACCTCCCCGCCTCCACCCGTAAATCGCCTCACCCCACCATACCCACTACCCTCAGCCTCCTCCCACCTGTGAAATCTCCTCCTCCAACCATTAACCACTACACCTCCCGCCTACCCACGCGTGAAATCTCCTCCCGACACCATAACCACTACCCCCCTCTCCACCCGCTTGAAATCTCCTCCTCCACCGATAAAGCCCTACACCTCCCCACCTCCACCGGTGAAATCTCCTCCTCCACCTTACCACTACACCTCCCCACCTCCACCGATGAAATCGCCTCCTCCACCTTACCACTACACCTCCCCACCTCCACCTGTAAAATCTCCTCCTCCGCCTTACCACTACGTCTCCCCTCCTCCACCCGTAAAGTCTCCTCCCCCACCCTACCACTACGTCTCCCCTCCTCCACCTGTAAAATCTCCCCCTCCTCCCTACATGTACAAATCCCCACCACCACCATCACCATCGCCACCACCTCCCTACCACTACAATTCTCCTCCCCCTCCGTCACCGTCTCCTCCAGTCTACCTCTACTCCTCCCCACCACCACCCCTCCACTACTAAGCATAAACTCTTCGCCCCTCTCCTATCAACCAGGTAAGTTCTTTAATCGTCGTCAACATGTATTAGTTTTCTTTATTATCAATAAATCACAGGCTCCAAGTTTTTTACAAGTAATTGTCTTTACTTAATATGAAAGTTAATTATGTACGTGCAGGTCTCAGTGTTAGTCGAATAAAGGAGGCTTGGAGGAGGGCGAGGTTCTTGTATCAAGCTTTTCATGTCAGAGTGAGGAATTCTTGGAACAATAATAACAATCACATAAAAGACCCGAGGAATGCAGCCCTGCATCTCCTCATAGTTTTGTTTAGCTCTAAGATGAGTGGAAAGCTTGTGCGAGGACCTTTTAGATGAATTCTTTGCTTCTTTTCCTGTTGTCTTGCCTTCGAGTATGAATTCTTGTATTTGTTGTATGTACGTACGTATTAATTGTCCCATGCATTTTCAATCTAAATATTAAAATATCATTTGTTTTCTTGGGTATTTGCCATTATTAATCGGGATCTTTCTTGGTGTCCTTGCCTTGTGTGCTTCATAAAAGCTTCTATTCTCTGGTGATCGAGGCAGAAATCAAAAGAGGTCAAGAAATGTCAGCTTTCCACGCGTATGAGCATTATTTCGCCATTGAAAGACTTTATTAGTTTCCCCAAGAAATGTGGGGCATATCCAAAGAAATTGAAGCATCTGACAACGGAGCCCAGCACCATGTGGCTAGCTAGCTAGCTAGCTACTTGGACTTTTGGCACGGATTAGAAAATTGTATTGGTCCGATCTGGTATATCTCAGCCTTTGGTCGATCGATAAGGCTGCCACACGTTTCTATTTGCGATTCCAGCTTGGCTTTTTACGCTGTTTTTTCCCGGTTTATCTTATCTCAGTACGTAGCTTCTGTATACACAGTCGCATAATTCAAAATTTCTGCATTCAAAAAAGTCGGACGCATGCATGTACCAAATTTACTATTCTTTTTCAGTACTTTGCACTGTTCACCATTTTCTTCTATTGAGGACGCAATGGAGAATGTAGTTGTTTTCACTGGTGGAGGGAAGGTACGTCAAAGCAAGAATCAATATGAGCCCGATTAAACCACGCTTCGCTTTATGGACCTTTTTTAAATAATTTTTTGTGGAGGGGTAAAAAGAAGAATGAGGTGGATTCATGTTAGGTCTTTACTCGTACATATTCATATTGAAATTAGGGAAAAATGCTTCTAGCCCCCAAAACACAAGAACACCCCTCTCACGTCGGAAACATGACGTTTCAACTGTAGGCATTAAATGATGATTAGAATGATTTTTGGGGGGGGATTCCCATTTCCCTCCAAAATTATCACCAGATATATTCCCCTTCCAGTCGTAATAAAATCGCTGAGTTCCTCCCTATTCTATTACTCCAACTAATCTGTTCCTTCCACTTAATTCTTCTCAATAAAAGTATCTTCGATTCTTTAACTACTCCCTGTAATAAAATGGCGGATGGATCTCTTCTATGCGTGGTAACGAAGGTAAAAAGCAACAAAGATGGTGACGGTGTATTCATCGTTATCAAAGAGAATATAAAAATAACCAGCTTGAAATATCAAGTGTCGGAAAGGCTTAAAATACCAATGCAATCTCTTTCACTGAAGTTCATATGCGAAAGTGAAAAGAAATTCAGTATTTCAATTGACAATGACGATGACTTAAATTTGATGTTCTAGTATTGTCGGCGTAATGGATTTACAGACGCGAATTTATATGCTATCTCCGCTGGGAAATCCTCAACTTCGCAGAACACGCAGACTACGTCGGAAAATACATAGGAATTACACTCCAGGTTTTCTTATGAGTTCACTGATAGGTTTTGCCATTAGTTATTAACCTTATGTATTGGTTGCTTAGGTAATGAGTTGGTTGTCAAGGTTAGGTTAAGGACTGGTTGTTAAGGTTATTTGTTCATTATTACGTATACTAGTTGGTTGCTATGATAAGGTATTTGCTGTTAAGTATATGCGTTTGTTAAGGTCACGAATATGTCCTTAAGTATAAGGGTTAGTTGTTAAGAACATGTGTCGGATGTTACGTTTATGAGTTTGTTGTTAAGGTTATCAGTTCGTTGATGAGGTTATGTATTTTTATTACTACTTTAGGATAATACCGACAGAAAATTCATGATGCGCAGATACCACGTTCACCCAAACCTGTAATGATGAGCGTATTCCTAATGACAATCCCACCGACGACTCGATATGCTACTGGAAGACATGCTTAATCACCAAACAAAGATCTCAACTGAGTGGCACACCTCCATACGTGAAGTTGGTTAGAAATTTGATAGTGCTGCTGAAGTTAGATTAACACTTCAATACTATTCAATTGCTAAACAGTTCGAGTATGATTTTTACCATAATGAACAAAAGCATATAAGAGTCTATTGCCGATTCAAGCACACACATGGTTGCCCTTGGATGTTGTTTGCTTTCCCGCTCAGAAATTCGTCTATCATGCCCATAAAGAATTTCAAATCTACCCACACCTACGGTCAACATGGAGCAAATGCTGGCAACTCAAGGGCATCAATGAAGTTCATTGCTAGCCAAATACAAAATATTTTGAAGGTTAGGCCGGATCTTCGTGCAGTTAATATTAAGAACGATATGCTCTCTAATTTTAGCATCAAGATTAACTATAGTAAAGCGTGGTGGGGCAAGGAGACAACTCAACAGGACCTGTTCGGTGACGATGATGATGCTTACGACTCACTGAGATGGTACGTTCTTTTTTATTCTTCTGAAATCACTCTTACGTTTTGGTTGCTAACTATACATATTAGTTGTTAAAGTTGTTGGTTCGTCGTTAAGTATACATGTTGGTTGTTAAGTTTAAAGATCAGTTGTTATGGTTATGAATCTATTGCTAAATTTACTGCTTTGTTGTTTATATTCATACATGTATGAATCCATGGTACATGCAACTAATCCAGGGAGTCGTGTTATTATTGATGTTGATGATGAGAGGTTCAGGCGATTGTTCATTAGTTATAATGCCTGAATTAAAGGGTTCATTATTGGGTGCATGTCTCTATTGTTTTTGGATGGAACATTTATTAAAGATTGCTACAGAGGCATACTACTTAGTGCCACTGGGTATGACGGCGACCAGAAGAATGAGATTAATTGGAAATGGTTCTTACAAGGATTGTGGACGTTACTGTATGATAGGAAAAATCGTTACCAACCTCCACATCGACTGGTAATGATTTCTGACGCCGACAAGGGTATTAGGGCAGCAGTCGAGGAATTCTTTTCAGATGCATTCTATTCAAGGTGTGTTATGCATCTAGTCGAGAATTATAAAAGGAAGATGAAGGATTTTAGGCACAAGGCAAATGTCACGACTATGTTGGGTGAGCTGTTACAATCTGCGGCTTATAAGTTCATAATTTCTGAATAGGATGATAACATGAAAGAATTGGTAGCGATCGATCACAGAGCTTACGTCACTGTAATGGAATACTCCCCAGAGAGATAGGCAAACACGTATTTTCCTGGTATAAGATAAGATAGGTTGATTTTAACGTTATTTTGTTACAGCACCGTTATAGTTGTTTAGGTTAGATTTAGCCTATAGTTTTCTGTTAAGCTTAGATTTTTATTATTATGGTTAGAATTATTCTACTAGGGTTTTGTTGTTAAGTTTAGAATTTTGTAGTCAAGGTTAGGACTTTAATGTTTAGGTTATGGTTTTATTGTTAATGTTAGTGTTTTGTTGTTAAGGTATGGCCATGTTACTTCAAACGTTGCTGAGTCCTTCAACATCTGGATATGAAATGTATGATTGTTGTGAATCTTACCTTTGGTTGAGACCATACGGAATCAAATAATAGACCACATGCATGAAAGGAGGCTAGTGGGTCAGAAATGGTCTGGATACTTATGCCCGGAAGCGGAGATGGTGTTGTACGATAATATTCAGCATGGTAGCTACTTGACGATTAAACATTCGACGGAAGATATTGTGGAGGTCGAGTCTAATAAAACTTATCATGTAGATTTGAAGAATCGAACATGCTTTTGTAGGTCCTGGGACATCACCCGCATTCCTTGCAAACATGCGTGTGCTGCAATTACATAGATGGGACGAGAAATTTATCAATATTATGATTACTACATGATTGTTAATACATTCAGAGCAAGTTATACACCGATCATCTTTCTCATCCCAGATTACGAGAAGTGCTTTGTACCGCCAGAAGAGCGAGTGTTAAAGCCTCCTCTCACCAAAAAAAGATATGGCAGACCATGCACCAAAAAAAGACGTGGCATTCATAAAAAAAAGATGTTATTAGTATTCAAATGGTTGATGCTATTATACAGTCAGAATCCAAGAAATCTCTGTTGTAATAGTGAAGTCACTTGGGCAGGCAAGCTTATGTGTTTAATGTTGATGTTAGGGCATTGTTGTTAAGCTTATGGATTTATTGTTAACCTTAATGTTATATAGTAAAGCTTATGAATTGGTTGTCAATGATACAGATTGCATGTCAAGGTTAGCACTGGGTTGTTATTTCATGTTTCGTTGATAAGATTATGTCTTGGATTGGTTGTTAAGGTTAGCACCGGGTTGTTAATTCATGCTAATTACCATTAATATAGTTTAGTGTGCAACCTGTAACGAGCCTATATAGTTTAGCATTTTATTGTTATGTACATGGATTTGTTGTCAAGTATATCGTTACAAGTGTTAAGGTCATGGATTGGCTGTTAAAGTTACTATTTGGTTGTTAGGTTTATCGATTGAATGTTATGTTTACTGTTATTCACTTGCGCTTGGTTGTCACGGTCACCGGGATATATTTTTTGCTACTGCATTCAATGTATTTCCTAGTTCCCAAGGAGGAGAGTTAAGATAACCAGGACTCCTACCTATCCCCACATTCCACGCGGTAACATCACCATCCCTTCGCCTGTTCAACTACAGGATAGGTATGATAACCTTTCGGTACAATCTTTCCTCGATCTCCCCATTGCCGACTCTCTATTGACCCTCCCTCCTTTATACGTAAATCCCAAGCGTTTACCCTCTCCCCAAAACCTTTAGGTTCTCCTGTCGCCATTAACTAGAAGATCATTGCTAGTCCTCATGCCAATGAAGGTCATGACGACAAGGACGCACGCTGATAAAAATCTTGGATATCCCTCATGATGATGAAGACGTTATCCCCATAGTCTTTGCTCTTAGTTCCATGATCTTTGGGTGAATGTATGTGGCTTTCTCCAAAGAGTTTGTACATTAACGCCCAGTTATGATTCAAAAGTGCAATGAATACAATCAATTCAGATGGGTCATGCGTGAATCACATGGGAAGGCAGGCATATGCTGGTGGAGATAGTCCTCTAGCTTACGTTAATACTGTATAGCTATACAGTGTAAACGTAAGCCAGAGGACTATCCCCACCAGCATATGCATGCCTTCTTAGGTGATTCACGCATTGATCCATATGA